TACATAATCGTTTTTCTATTCCTACAATTGTATAAAAAAATTTCATTACAATAATATTCTAATTTAATGTCATAAATCATAATATTTTTTTGTCATCATATATTAAAGTTTGAAAAGATGAAATCTGTTAAATTTTAATTATTATTAATTAAATTTTTATTCTTTATTCATGTATTACATTTTTTATTAATGTATAAAAAATAAATTTCATTAGCATTTATAGAATGGATACATAAAGATGTTTAAAATATTTTTAAATTTCAAGAGTTTTATTTTTGTAATTTTTAAAGATATTTTTAAACTTTATCAATTTATTTCATTATCATTATAAATTTAATAAATGTTTTGATTCTTATGAATTTTATTTGATACTTATTACTGTAATTTTTTATTCCCCTATCTTACTATTCCCTCCAAAACTTTTCCTCCTTCCTTCTAAACCTATTTTTTTTTCAATATTTAATTTTTAATAACCCGTTTACCTGTTTTTTCCTACTAACTTTCCCGTTTCTAGTTTGCCTTCAAAGTAGTAATTAGTCCTACTAAAAATAAAAAAATAAAAAATAATAAAAAAAAAAACAAAACAATAAAAAATTTTAAAATTAAATCAATACCATCAAAATGTTATCCTTATTCAATGAAATAAAGAAATTAAAACATTAAAAAAAACATCCAGAAAAAGATGTTCGATTTACTCTGAAATTAGGGTAACATACGTTTTTCGAGGATACACAGGACTTAAGAAACAAATTGGACTCAACGTTTCTAAAGAGGACCATTGTATTACTTTGAAGAGGGACAGACGCCAATATTTTAGGACAAACATAACCATTTTTTTAAATTATTTAAAATACCATTATTTTATATCTAGCTGTAAACCTTATTCTGTAATCTAAATAATGACCAAAAATTAATTTTAATAGTTTTTTCCGTTTTTTTTTTCCTACTACCGATCACCCTTTTTTTATCGCTTCTTCTTTTGTCATTCCTATATTACCAACTATTACAATTAGTCCTTAAAATTGAACGACGTTAACTTTTGTTTATGTGGCAAACGAGAGTCCACGTGTGAGGATCAGCAATGTCAGCTTCTATGTTAGGTGTCTGCCACATATCTTTTCTTCTCTAAATCAGATTAGGGTTCTTCTATTCTGATTCATGATTTCACCGAAGCCGATGGATTCATGTGCAGATCCAAGCAAGACCCAAAATTGCAAAGCCCAAAAAAACCCACGAAAGGCCAGCCTGATTCTGGTTCCTCTCCTTGAAAGCAAGTCTCCCCCTTCGACTGCTCCGCCTCTCCTCAGGCTCATCCCGTCTTGCCAATACTGTCGAGGGCTTGCGCTACCCCTTCCTCTTCTCCTTCTCCGATTTCGAAACCCTCCCCGACAAGCCTCATAAAACATATAAGGATGCTCAAAGGGAAGCCCTTTCGCAAGCCGAAATCTCCGTCACCATTCAGGACTTGCTCGATAAGGGCCAAGAGTAAGGGTTAAGGATGGGTTGGTCGTCGACGTTGGTAGCCAACGTGGGTATGGCCACCTTCGCGCCTCTGCCATGGGGTTTCAGGTTTTTGGTTTGAGCCCGGGAGAGAAGGGTTGTCAAAGAGACTGGTTGGAAGGAGGGAACTGTCAAAATGAGGTTGCGGGATGGTCACGGTGGGTGAGGCAGCGCTGCGCGAGGAGCAGGGGTAAAGTAGGGTGTTTACAAGGAGAGCGGCGGTTAGGTAGGGGTTTAAGTAATTTTTATGTGTTATTTTTCGAGCTTGAATTGAATTTATGTTGTAGACAGCATGTTGTTTTAGTTGGATACTAAGTCAGTTAGCTGGGAAGAATCATTTGAATAGTGCTTAGAGAAGAAACATAGAGAAAAATTGTTATTGATGGAAATAGATAAATTAATAAAGAACTATTTCTATTAGTGGGAAGCAACACACCTAGTGAAGTATTGGTAAACATCCCCAAGAACTATGGAATTTAGAAGTGTAAAACGCTCCTATCATGTTTTCGGAAGAACACCGATGAACTCCCGATCATCTATCGTCCTACCTAGAAGTTGAACACTCAAAGTTCATCTGAATTCTTTTTCTTGTTTAACTTTCTTGCAGGGAATGGTAACTTGGTGCAAGGTACTGGAGCTCAAAAACATGGTCAGAAGGAAAGAGAGGCATCTAATGTGCAAGAAAAGGTAAACAAGTAAAATCAACTGAAGGAAACTATCAGGTGGAGGAGTATGAGAAAAAATATAAAACAACAAAAGAGGCTCGTGAACATGATGAAAAGTAACTGTGCGTCTGAAACTTATCAGAAAAAGAAAAGCAATGTGACATAGTAACAGAGGAAGATGACATTACACGTGGACTCGCCGTTTGCCATATCAAACAAAAGTTAATGCTCGTTCAATTTTAAGGATAATTGTAATAGTTTAACAAAGGACTAAAAGGAACAAAAGTTTCGAATAGGGACTAAACCCAAAATCGTGTGATAATTAAGGGACGAAAAACATATTTAACCCTTAAATTGTAAGTATAAAAATGAAAATGAATTCTTTCTATAGATATTTAACTTATAAATTCAATAAATGTTAAAATTATTTAATTTTATAAAATTTTATTTGATACTCGTATTAATAAGTAATTTTTATATAAATATTTAATGATTGAAAACCAAAATATATGTTCTTTTATATTAAATATTTGATAATATTATATTTTTTAATTTTTTTATTAATATTAATTAATTACTATTGAAAAAATAATATATATATATATATATATGTTTATATATATATATATATATATGGATATATGTATAGGATATATATATGTATATATATATATATATATATATATATTATGCTATATATGTATATGTATTATAGGGATATTATATATATATATATATGTTAATGTAATGTTATATATGTATATATGTATGTATATAGTATAGTATGTATCACTACTACATTAACGGAAAAACGGCACCGGTTCTTTTTGTTAATAGACCGCGGTTCTGGAACCGATGCATATACAGACGAGGTAGAAAGTGATAAGTTTTTGACCTCGGTTGGGAACCGAGTCAAAAAAAGATACGATTTTGCCCCGGTTCACAGAGAACCGAAGCAGTAGGATTACTTTTTTCTCTATCCAGAAGGAACCGATGCAGTAGAGTGGTTATAATTTATTTTTTTGGTTTTGTCTGTGAAAAGGTTATAATTTATTTTTTTTGGTTTTGTCTGTGAAACGTTGTTATCAAGCTTCGAGTTCCCAGCAAGCAAGCAAGATATCTTCACTCTCGACAAAGGTCCACACACCCAAACAACAATTCGGTAACCACCCAACAAACCATTCGGATCACCACCCCACAAAACCGTTAGACCACACCCCAACAACCGTGCCAATTTACCGGACCACCACAAACACCACGCCGGAAGTCTTCTTTCTCCAACAACATTCTCCAGAATCATGGCGCTGTCCAAGGCAACCTGCAAGAAACCAAACCAGAAAATCAAGACGCCGCCGCGACTGTAGATCAGAAAGAAGGGAACCAGAAAAGAAACCATTATCAGACCACCACAGAACCACCGCGACCCTTCACCAATCTCTCGACTCCTTCGCCCAAAGAGCCACCATCTTTTCCAAAAAAGATGAAAGGTAAAGGAGAAAGGAGAAAAAAAGAAAGAAAAATAACAAAAAAATAGCAAGTAAAGAAAAAAAGTGAAAAACTAAATAAAAGGTAAGAAGGGGAGGGAAGAAGGAGGGAAGGAAAAAATGGAGTAGGAGGAAAGGAGAAAAGGAAGAGGAGAGGGCAAAGTAAGAAAGTAAAAGGAATAGAGGGGGACGAGAGTAGAGGGGTTAGAGGCACGGAGAGCGCAGGCACGGGCATTGGCAGCACAGGAGCGGCGTGGCGAGGAAACTACAGAGGAAGAATGGGAGATGAGATTGGGATCGGGGGAACTTCTTCGTCCCTGAGATTGGCAAGGAGAGGGTTTAATAAAATGTTTAAGAAAGAAGCTTCATTTTGGGGCAGAGAGGAGAAGAACACGGGAAAGGTACGGGTTTGGAAAGCATATAAAACCCCCAGAGGCAATAAGCACTATATGCTTCATACAAATAGCACACGATGCCATAAGAGACTTGAGTGTGGAAGAAGAGAAAGACGCTCAGTGATGTGCGACCAGGGTTTATGCCGAGGATTCTGTGCTGGAAAATCGAGGACGATCAAGTGTGACAGGGCTTTTTATGCCTCGCGTTTGCTAGCACCAGGTAGTATCATTTTTTAAAAAGCTTGTCAGCCCAAAAGTCTGGGTTTTAGGCACCGGTTCTGTCTGGTAACCGAGATCGTCGTAACGTTATTTCTTCGGTCCTGCATGCAACCGAGAGGCATTATAAGGTTTACTTGTTTCAAATATGCCACCGCGCTTTAATAGACGCGGGTTTATGGAAATGGGGTTATTGTGCGAGTTTATTGTTAAAAGCAAAATATGTGTAAGAGCGGGGGGAGATGGATAGGGATGGTAGATATGTATATGGATGGATAGAGGATATGTAGGGATGATGGAGGGGATGTATATATGGATGTATATATATATGTATGTATATCATATATATATATGCGAGGATATTAATATATGTATGTATATATAGATATAATGTATATATAGTATCTATGTATATATATTCATATATGTGTATGTATGTATATAGCGATGTGTGATGATAGATATTACATATATGTGATGATGTATTGTATATATGTATGTTGGTGTATGTTATATCATGTATATTATAATATATATATTATATATATGGTTTAATGCTTTTAGATTTTTATTTTCGTCCAGAATTTTAAATAGTTTCTTCTTTTCGGCCGTCTCAAAGTTTAGTATATTTAAAAGGGAAATGGTAAAAGAAGAGTGGGAAAAGGGAGAAGAAGGAGTAAAGAGGGGGAGTGGTAAAGAGAAGGTGGAAAGTGTATAGGTGAAAGGAT